CAGGAATGTAAGAATTATTGGCTCCCAACAGTCTTCACAGAAATTGTAACCAATCCTGCTAGTTGAATAAAGCTTCAGACTTGGCCTCCACTTCTCCAGAAGTTTTCAAACCGTGGGCCAAGCCAAGGCACTGGAGCCTGAGACATGGCAGCTAATTCTAACCCAAGCAGGAGCAGTTTTGCCAAACGTTAGAGCTGGGGAGAAAGGTCACCTTTTTAGTTGCTATTTAGAGAACATTTGGGCAGCATCACAACTGATGATGAAATGTAGGCTACACCAGGGAAAGCCTGCTGCCCTCATTGTCCAAAGAATTCACTTTCTCTTAACCAAACTTGAGCAGCTCCTTGCTGAGCAAGTCACCCAGACACAACAGGAAGAGCTTGCAAGTGTCACGGTCACACACTGAGAATCTTGAACGTTAGAGAGCTCGAGGGAATTTAAATTCTGTGATAGCCTCATTTAGATGCAAAAACTAGATGTGTTAATAACAAGCATTGACTGGATGCTAACTAAGTGTTTATAGCTCTGGCCCATAAAACACATTGAACTCCAGACCCATCATTTATGTTACAAGACCAGGTGGGTATCTCAGAGGCATTTCAAACTGAAATCTGCTCTCCCACCCAAGCCTGCCTTCCTGCACCAAACCCCTTCCTCCAGCTGCTCAGGCCCCAGGCCCTGGAGCGGACTTGATTTCTCCCTCTCTCCCACCACATCCAATCCATCCACAAATCCCATGGGCCTTGTAGTGGAATAACTGAGGACATGGAAAGGAGACATGACCCATGAGTCCCCCCTCAACAAACTGGGGGCTGGCGAATAAGCCAGAACTGTAAACAGTTCTGATTGCTTTGAGCCCCGCCACCCCACCCCCCCCGACAAACCAGGGGCCTGCAAAGAAGCATTGAGTGCTTTGGGCGCTGATTCATGAGAATGTCCTCAGTATAATCAGTATGGTGGGAACACAAGGCAACGTCCTTGTGCTGCTTCAGTATAATCAAAATAATGGTGGGAACTTTGTGCTGCTTTTGCGCTCAAGGACGAAGCACGGCATGTTTTCAAGAAAGCCCATTATTGCTTGTATAATTAATAAAAACATAGGTTGCTGCTTTGGCATTTCTGAAATGTTAAGAAAATAAGTCTTAAAATATAAACCTAAATAATGCTTTAATAAAAGCTACCACAGCAGGACAGACGGTGCTGTTTTGCCTGAGCGAGCAGCAGCCCTCTACTGCTGTGCTTCTGCACAATTCATCTCGTGTGATGAGCTTACTTTCGGCCCTGTCATAAGATAAACTACAACAGGCTTCAACTTCAGGGTAGCTTCCTGCCTCTGCCCTTTGTTGCTGCCCCTGGCCCAAGCCTCCAGCACCTACTGCCTTGACGGTGGCAAGTGTCTCCTAAAGAGGTCTCCCTACTCCAACAGGTGCCCCACACAGTCTATGTGTATCACAGCAGCCAGGGAGATCCCATGAAGACTCGGGTCACCACCCGCTTCTGCGCAGAGCCCTCCAGCAACTTCCCACACGCTCAGAGCCGAAGCCCAGGTCCTGTAGAGGCCACCTTCACCCCCTCGCCCCAGCCACGCCCGCTCCTGAACACTGAACTGTTTCCACCTCCAGACCTGAGCAGTCAAGGACTTTCTCTGTTTTGTTTCCATTATGCTCCCTGCTGTACTCCCAGCACTTAAGAGGCAAGCTTGGCACACCAAGTACTCAATGAATGAACTGAATGGGGATGCACCCTGTGGGCCATTTTCATTACCCCTAGTTCACAGGTGGGGAAATGGAGACACAAACAGTGGCAGAGCCACAATTCAGACCCAGGTAGGGCAGCTATACCAGC